CGAGTTTAATCGCGGCAGTTCATTCACCTGTCCGACGTCGACCACATCTGTCGCGATCCCCGGGGGCGGCGTCGAGCGGGGAATAATTTCGCACACCGTGGGGAGAGTAAATGAACCTCTTCTGGTCCCAGGCTTGCATCGTACAGTGCCGACAGCGGCCGTGGAAGGTTCCCGTCTAAAATTTCAGTCCGTTTTTCGAGGAATTCCGGGCGATAAGGGAAGAATGATCCGCATTCGCTCATGCCCACGTTCGATATCGGGGAAATAAAAGCGCGCTGTTCCTCGAGCATCGGCGATTTTGCCTTTGCGCTCACCGCTCTTTGTGTGAGAAAGAATTTTCTCAACGAACACGGGGATAGAAATCATGTTGGTGAAAATCTTTCGCTTTCTTACGATTTCTCCGAAATACAACTCAGCGCTTCATTCGGACTGAATGAGAGGTTACAAATGAAGACACACGTTTTACTTGTTCCTTTTCACTGGAAATTTGTTTGCTCTTCCATTTTTTTGACAGGTCGTAAAGCCTCACATTAAAATCCAACTGTAGACAAAAATCCTTTTATTTCTTCCTTCGTAAGTTGAATCAAGCCTTCGTAAAACACATTTAAAAAAGGTACGTGGATTTTTCGTTTTAAAATTCTTTCTAAATATTTTGGGTGCGATATGTCATTTTCATAGCATGATAGCAATCATGAAGAATGAATAGATATTCTTAAACTTGTGAAATTATCGAGTACTTTTCAACAGTTGTACTGTATTCGCCCATAATTGTAGTGCCATCCATGAAATTGGTCAGACTTTTTAACGCCGTACCTGTACAGTCGTCATCCGTATTCCGAACAAGGAGTTCCAACGCTCCGGTTAAATTATTTGAAAATTTGTAAGAAATGCTGACGGACTAATAGGAAAGCGCAGATAATTTATTTCAATCACTGGGCAGGTACTTCATCTTCATTACTCGAGGAAATATAGCGCAACAATTTTTGCATCGATCCACGACCATTTCTTCTCCAATAATGATCCGACAAAAGCCGACGGAAGATGAAAGCATGAAAAGAATAGAGGTCTACTGGAGTCCATGTGAAAGATTGCTTTGAATGTCACTTTAAAAGTTCGGTGGTAACGATTACTGCATTTCGAAGCAAGCGTGAAAGGATTATATTTTTATCAAAGCATGAACATGTGTTTAAAATGAGTCCTATGCTCTGTTGTTATATCAGTAGCATACGAGGGGTTACACGTTTTCACGCGGACATGATATGATCTGAACACTTTGGGGGTTTTCTGAAGCATTTTTGTCATTTTCACTAGTTCCAAGAGGCTAGGCAGACACATTCTCAATTTAATCACCACCAATTTTTACACATTTCTCAGCATTGTTACATTTTGAAGCTTTTCCAGAACGGAAGCAAGAGCAAGCTGATCCGCGCGGAACCGTGTAACCCCGTTATCAAAAGCTGGACTGCTCGGACAGCGGTAAATTATTTGCCACTGTTATAAACCGTATCCTCTGGGTTTTGAGAACTTGCTTTTACAGTATTAGTTTTCACTTTATTTATGAGTGAGTGTTTTTATGGAAAGTGTTCTGAGACAAATTTTGGGGCACGAGGTTATCAACCTACATTTCATCTGCAAAGACTCAGGTCCCAGAGGCTCTGCTATCACTCAAGAGAAATAAATGAAGCAAGAGTAAACTGAAATTGATGCATGGTAAACCCAATTGGCTGATTTTTCAATTCCTTGTCAATTTTCCCAATTGTCCATTTCGCCGTTCGATAAATTTTTATGCTCATTTTTTCATGGAAAACATTTTTCCACCTTTTTAGTGATAAATTAGCTGAAATTTCATCTTAGACCACAGCAGAACTGAACTTCGAATTTATGTAGCTTCTGATCACAGTGTGAGTGGATTCCACAAATAAGTTGTCCTCATGCAGCTTCGCTCCGCGTTGATACTTTTTTTTCACAGCTGAACCCTAATTCGCATAATTCTTTTCCAAAATAAAAATGTGTTGTTCACAAACCTTGCTGTTTCCTAGGTTCAATAAAAATTAATTGTATTTAGGAACTTTTGGCCTTGAACAGGGTGAGATTTTGCAATCGGACTTTTGATACCGGCCACTGCCCCAGCAGGATCCATACGTACCGTAATCGCCAGGTTCTTTCTAGGTTCTTGAATAATTTATCAGTCGTTTTTTTTCAATTTTGGCTCAAGATCCCATTAAAGTATTAGTAAAGTGCTCATCGTTTCTGCTGGGGTGCTCGACGTAGAGTACTTCTAAGCAATTGTATGAACAGGAACAACGTAGGAACCATTTCCGAGATCATCAGGCAGCGGAACAAGAGGATTGCCCAATTGTGGTTAAACTTGTCGGTGGGTATAGCACAGTTAGAGCCTGCCATATGGATACCCCAACGTGCGGAAAAATACACTCAAGGACACGTTAAACTAAAAAAAAATCACCCCAAACATCTGGACAAGATCTCTCAAGATTCGGACGCCGCCAAATTTTCTGCGAAAGAAAAAATTGAATTGTGATACCCCTTGAACAAATAGAGCGATTGGTATGATCATGAAGTCGTGATGATTCTTGCTTAAAATTTACTACAGCACATTCTTCAAAAATTTTTAATTTCGTGCTTATCTTTTTAGTGGTTTTCCCATCAACTGTGTACAGTAAATTAATATCTGTGCTCGTTTTTTCCATGTGGGATTCCCTTTCATGCAGAAAAGACCGATTCTGCGTGGTTATCTTTTTATTTATTAAATTGAGGAACCATTATTTATTCAATTTTTTGGGAACTGTATCCAAATTTTCCTAAACATAAGCGATTAAGTATTTTATAAATTGGGTCTCTGCGAAAATTTCACTCAGCAACATTCCAACATACTGTTTAAGAATTATATGAATCATGTCGATTGAGTATTCATGCCTAACTCATGCTAAAGCTCTTCAAATGAATTTGAAGTGCTTTTGATGAAAAGAAAGTTTCGTTCAGGTCCCCTGTTTATTATATTGATACAGTATTTCGCCGCGAATTGAAGTGCTAGAAAATGTAATGTTTCAATGGGAACCGGAAAACTGAATTTGCGCTAAAATTATGAATTCAATGACGTAATTATACACCCCTTTGAAAAACAGCTACGGAAAACAACACAATTCCTGGCCTTAACGCACTTAGTACTTGCAACAAAAATATATAGACACGACAAAGAACTGAATCGCAGGTGCTTACTTTCATTTTTAGCAGCTTAATAAACTATTCGCTCTCCTTTGATTATTTAATTACAGTACTAATAGATTTTGTTATACAGTATTGTCAAGGTATATTTGTAATACCGTAATAGGTTCGGGAACCGATTACTGTAAATTGATTACACGGTAGTTTGCTCATGGCTGTAGCTGTTAAGTGTAAATAAGGGTTTTATCTGCATGGTTTTTCTGTGTGAGACGCTTAAAAATGCTGGAATAATTTAGCTGGCATACTGCATGTTTCTTCGATGTACAGCAAGAATTAAAACGTGCCAAGTACAGTACTGTATATCAGATCTAATCCTTCTTTTCCTCTTCCTGATGCAGGCCTTCAGCATACTGTATTATGTATTGTTCAGATGGTCCCAAAGTCAATCCCAGCAGTTTATCAGAGATTCCTGGACCATTCGTCTGCCTTCATCGCGGCTGCACTTCAATCGGGGTTCCTTCTTAACAGTTGCGTTCATCCTATCATATGTTAAAATATCAAGGTCTAAAATGACAAAACAGCTCCAGGGTTTCTGTGGGATTCCTCCTTTTATTCTCTATATATTTGACAGGCAAATTTGGAGGATTTCCTACAGCCTTCCACAAAAACAGTAACTTTGATGTCATTTACGATAGGATAAAATTCACAAAACAAAAATAGATTCGATTTGATAAAAATGATCCGTTTCAGCGGCACTGTAGAAGAAGCGACACCTATGAACTCAAAATCAAGAACGAGTAATATAAATATTACACCTTCTTGTCAAGCGACGCCCTGATTTTCTTAATACTTTCCCAAACAACAAACGAGTGTAATAAAAATAATATGCACCTAAGACAAACATGGACGAATATTACAAATTCATTAAAGTTTGCAGAAATCTCAGGGTTGCACATGTATCTCAATCGCTCTCAGGCTAAAAAGCAGGCATGCAGCTTATTTTGCCAAGATTTTCGCAGGACCCCTGTCAGCGCGCATGCCTCGTCATGTCATCAAAATGTTCAAAAGGTTAAAAGAAGATACTGTAATTCGGGAACTCCCGATGCCATAGTTTTCCTTGAAAATCGGCAATATTGAAATACGGTACATACAATACGCGAGGTACTAGATACAGTACTGATAATTTTATCTGGGCCTGAATATCGGCTTCGTCTACTTCAATATTTTGGTTGCATGACAGCAGATAAAATGACCTGAGTAAGTATAGTATAGATTTGTACTGACTAAAAGTGATTCCAGCTAATTGTGTTTTATCGCAAGATACAACAATCTGACTATCATTAAGATGTATTTCCAAAGTTTCTTCAGCTTAATATAAAAACGCATGATTTTCCCTCCCCAGGATATTACGGGCATTATGCATCCAAAATAAGGATCGTAGAAACATCACCTTTCACGCGAATGTGAAATACAGTACAGTACTCTTGGGTACCACAGAACTACTGTATTTGAAATGCCATTATCTCCAGTATGATATAGCTGAGCGTCGCTGAAAAGCCTTAAGCATTTTTCCACACATAGTTAATATACCTGTATGAGTATCAACCTTCGAAATTATATAAGTAATGTTCTTCATTTATGAAACAGTCATGAGCTGTACAGTACTTGCATTTTTCTGATTCTGTATAGGAGGTAAAGGAGGAATTAATCTGTGTCTTGGGAAACGTTTTCGAGAAAAAATGCGTCAAATCACTCATATACGCAGTAGTTACTTTCTGGTCGTACACAGGAAAAGAAAATTTGCCCGTTCATTCCACATGCAGAGTATAGTAAGTACAGTTATGGACTACAGAGGCATAAACAATACTGTAATGTACCTGCAAATGTACAATATTGCAAGTACAGTACAGTACAGTATAGTACAGTAGTTCTTTTTAGCTCTGTGTTATTGTCTACTGACGAGTGAGACTCCCTATGACATGAATCAGACGCAACATGGCCGCGCAGTGGGGTAGTTTGTGGAGATGCGTGGAAGTAACACTCGGAACGTGAAACGTGCAATACTTCACAGTGTACCCAACTAAGTTGTATAATTCGAATGTAGAGCCGCAGATCTTTTGAAAACTCGTTTATTTTGTCATCAATTGATGTCATGTGAGTAGCTTTTGTTGTCTTGTAGGTGAAACGAAATTTTCTCGATCTTGGAAAAAGAATTTTCATTCGTTGTGGAGGCGTCGATTGTGTGTTTTCGCCGACTGTGTATACGACAGCTCCGCTAGAATGTCCACCATCAACCCTGAATAGTAAGTTACGTCGCAATCGATTTCGGTATTTTAATTAACCGACAATTCGATTGCAGTGATTACCTCTTCAAGCTCCTTCTCATTGGTGATTCCGGTGTCGGTAAATCGTGTTTGCTCCTTCGATTCGCTGTGAGTATGCGAAATTGATCATTGCTGTTTCATTTCTCCGCAATTTGACGCTCTTCCTGTAGGATGACACGTACACGGAAAGCTACATAAGTACCATCGGAGTAGATTTCGTGAGTATTTCTGTTTCATTCTTGTAATCCCGGATTTTTATTTACGAGTTTCGTACGAAATTTTTCCGATTCCCGATCGCATTTTATCAACAACCTCTTCAATCGAACCGCAGTAACCTTTTTCTACAGCATTTCGTTTTTATCATAAGTCGAACATCTCTTGGTTGTTGAGTTATGCGTCGGAGAAAGGCAATCGATTCTACCCAAGTGAAGACATGTTTGATATTTGCAGAAAATTCGTACAATCGAGTTGGAAGGAAAGACGATCAAACTCCAAATCGTAAGTTGATCGCTCATCTTACAGATATGAGCATGTGAACATCGATATCCGTTGCATTCTAGTGGGATACTGCGGGGCAAGAACGTTTCCGGACTATTACCTCTAGCTACTATCGCGGTGCTCACGGTATCATCATTGTCTACGATTGTACTGACCAGGAATCCTTCAATAACGTCCGACAGTGGCTTCAAGAAATCGAACGATATGCATCAGAGAATGTCAACAAACTCTTGGTAGGCAACAAGTGCGATCTGACGACGAAGAAGGTTATCGACTACACGACTGCTAAGGTGAGTTAATGGCTGGATTTTTTTTCGCCCTTGGTGACATGCTACTGCTTCTGTGCAGGAATTCGCCGACCAGCTGGAAATTCCCTTTTTGGAGACTTCAGCGAAGAATGCTACGAACGTGGAGCAAGCCTTTATGACCATGGCAGCGGAGATCAAAAATCGTATGGGACCGCCTGCGTCAGGCACTGGAGGTGATGGACCGCAGGGACAAAGAGTGATCATAGACTCAGGCAGGCCAATTGAGTCCAAAGGCGGTTGCTGCTGAAACGCGCACGCGATCGCATGAAACGTCTCATGAGTTGTCCTCGCGATTGTTTATTTCTTATTCCTCCAAATTTCGGCTAGCTGAAAACAGGATGTTTCTCGTCCCTTGCGAGCATAGGTGTGCGCTGCAGCCCCTAACTCGAATCTTTTACCCAATTTTAAGTGTCCTCTGGAAAGCAACGCATTCACCTCCTGAATAAAGCTTGGAAGTCTATTTTCGGTGATGTGAGCGCGTGTCGGGGAGATATTCATATTGTGAGGAGTTGTGCCGATCGAAAAAATCTTTAAAACCCTGCGGAACTTCTCGACATTTTCATTTTAATCGTTCACGCACTCGCAAATGGCACGCGCTGAGGGATTTGTGTATGGTAGCGCTGTATTCGATTTTCCGTTGAAGCCGACGGTTTGAGCATGCTGGGGTTTCCTTATTCACTTTGATTTTTGTTGTGTGAATGGGTGCAATTTTGAAGGGTGTAGATTTTTTTATTCCTTTGTTTGGCGAGCGAGTTGGAAAAGCAGGAAGTTTCCTTGCAAAGGAAATCGGGGTTTCTTTTGTGGGCGGCTTAGAACTCGTTGACAGTGCAGATGCAGGAAGTCGGCTTCGATCATCTTTCTGAGAAAGTTTGCTTTAATTCGATGGAAATGGAAGGCCTCGCGTGCAAATCCGGATATATCTCGAATTCTGTCATCGGTTGCGCCGGATGAGCCTCGCACCTCGCGGAAATCGATCCTGAACCAAACGCGTTTGTTGAGCATTGCAGATCGCGACTTGTGATAAGAAACGTCGACTCGCGCAGGAATGGTCCCGGCTTCGTCTACGCTCCCCGCATCGGCCAACTGCATCAGTGCGCGGCAGCTCTTGTGAATTCGCCCGTGCTGTTAGTCAAGTTATTTTTCTCTGGTTGGCCGATGGCTCGTACAAGGTCTCCGCGAAACTGCCTGGCCTGTCTTCCATCCTTCGGTGTTGCTTTCTGCCGCTCATGTTACGCAGTGCTCCGCTTTGTAATCATGGCTAGGATGTTCTTATTCAGAAGTGTCTGTGGTTTGGGTTAGCTTCGTCTAAAATGCCCCGTCTTGATCTTTGTGGCTGTCGGTGATGTCCACTCATCTTCCCCTGCTTTCAAACCTCGCGTAAGAATTCTTCTCCCGGCACAACGTGACGCAGCCGAGATTTTCTCGCCTGTGCCAGGCAGTCATTCCAATGTGGGTTTAGTGAACACCGGTTATTGCGAGTTATGCGGGAAAGGAGATTAAACGTTATGAGTGATCTATTACAGATTTTAAGCTGCATTAAAAAAATTCCAGATGCAAGAGACATCTGAGTGCTGAGGCAGTTACCCAGCCTCCAAGGGAATTCAATTTTAAAAGTGCAAAACTACATGATGACTGCAAAAATGAAAAAAGCTGGAGCATCCTCACTCCTTGGATATTAAAAGAGAACTTCTATTATTGTCTCTCATCACTGGTTTCATATAGACAACTATCACACACATAATCAGCAAATACAATCTCTCATTGTGTAATAGAAACTTGCTTTCAAAACGAAATCAAATCAGCAAAGAAACTATGCTTTGCCTATGGTGCAATTCCCAATGAGCAAACTTCCATAGCAAATAACTGTAAATTTTACACTAACAAAATTTCATAACATCTTAAATTGGAGCTGAAAATGTTTTCCAACTTTTCTTTAATCATATGAAAAGTGACCCAATCATCCAATATTTAGATATTCTCAATTTTCTAAACCTAACTTTTCTTTGGTGATGAGAATCTGGAAAACCTTCATGCCAGATTCTTATCTCACTGATGCCCAAGCTTTTGGTGAAAACAGCCACTTCAAAAGCCTTGTTTTTAAATGTACATGAATGAATTTATTTCTGCAACACTCGCACCAAATAGTACGGCAATATATTTTCCTAATCATACTCAAGGAATTCAATACATTCATCCTCACATTTCTAAGCTCCTTCACTTCAGCATGAATATTTCTGACCAAACCCTGCATACCTTTATAGTGGGACAGAAAACCCCTTCCTAATCTTTATATCATTCTGACATCAAGCTCCATATTCTATGCTTGCTTCATTGAGTCCAAACATAAAACAAAAGCACTCATTTAGCTTTATTAAAATGTACTATAATTTCCATTGACCTTTCTTCCTTAAAATGCATCTCATTTAACCGAAGCACTTTTTCTCATTCATTTGCTAAGATTTTGATTCCTTTCTTTCCCAGCATCAGGATATTCAAGACCTTATGTCCAATCCCAACAAAGCTAAATCCACATATTCTCTGGGTTGGTCTTCCACTAATGTTATCAACTGAAGACAACAAGGTAAACTTCAACTACTTGAAATTCTAAAAAAGAGCATATAAATCCTTTGGCTTTTTTCAAATGCATGAACTTGAAGAGCCACAATCTCAGTATTTCCTAATTGAGGCCACAAGACATTCATGCCATTGGGACCTGCAGTGAGCACAATTTTATAATCAAGTTCTTCTCACAATAGACCTAGATTACCTTGAACTTTCTAGTATAGGAGGCTCCCCACATCCTTGCTTATTTGTGGTTCCCTTAACCAATATGTTCACTACTCCCAGTTACAGAACTTTCTTTGCACTGAAGAACAAGACTTTGAGGTCACTAACTTGATCTGATTACTTCACACAACTCTTGACAAATTCATCACCCCTTTTTTCTTGCCCTCTTCTTGTTTGAGGAAGAAAGTGAATTGAATCATCTAACATTGTGCAACTATTCTCACTGCATGAACCATGTTACAGCCTTCACCTGCCTTAAAAGCTACACTGATTAGCTGAACATACTATCATCAAACACTTCCAAAGAATTTAACCTCTACGTTGATAGTCCAATCATTTTTCCAGACTGTTCTCAAGTTCATTGCCTACTTGATTGAGCAGAGAGCTTCTCTTTTGAGATCTATCAGAAAAAGACTTTTCATAAATTCTTCAATCTTGCCATTTACAGCTCTTCAAATACATTTCAATAAACCAAGTCCAATTAAAAAAGCTTCTCATAGCTTGTAAATCATACATTCTTGCTATAGGTACATTCTTTTTAAAACCTGCAGTAAAAAACCTCAGAGCAGTGCGTGGGTTTTCAAACATTTCCCTGAAACTATCCTTTGAGAAAAAATCCTTCAACATACACATCCAACTTTCCTGATGCAAGTCTCAAGAATCATTCAATCATACTTGAAGATAGGGACTTGAAATGTGTTGCTGACTTTTCAGGTGGGATGCATGAACTAGAAAGACGTTCTCCATGTAATGGCTTTATATATCAAGACAGGCTTTTTATGGCATGCCTGAAAATCCCAAAGGTAACTGCTTTCCTTACACTTTCATCTCAAAACTTATGTTCCAAAATTCCTTCACCTTAGAGCTTGTTCTCCATTGCAATCACCACCAAATCTTGAGTACCCATTTTTAGGCTTACACATTTCTGTAGCAAAACATTTCCACACTGCGCACTCAATCACATTTCCTCCTCCCACATTCTTTGATTGCCTTCAGCACATCTACAAATTTCACAATTCTTTTTTTGCAGAGCACAAACCAAAGAAATACAAAACATTCAAACTCTTCTTCCTTTTCCATGGGATCCTTGATGCACCCATTCTTGAGCCTTTCCTTTGATTGCTGCAGACACCTTTTCAACTTCCTTCTGACTGCAACACCTTCTGCCAAATTGTACACTTCCTTGAAATCAGCATCAATCTTGTATGAGCTGGCTAGATCACACCTGCACATGCTATGAATTGACTAAAATCATTGACATCCTTTCCATTCCCTTGAAAAAAACTAAAAGAGCAAGTTATTCAGCAAACCATCAGCTCACACCTTCTTCTTCCTTCTACCTACTTCTGCTTGAAGCTCTCACTCTTACTTTTGTTGCTCTCTTCTTTTGGGGGGGGGGGGGCTGCACCTTCTTTACCACAGCACACCCACCAACCTTTTCTCAGCTTCATGCATTCTGCAGCCAAAATGTCAAAAGCCAGAAACATTCCAGATGCAAGAGACATTATATATATGAGTGCTGAGGCAGTTACCCAGCCTCATAGGGAATTTAATTTTGAAAGTACAAATCTGCATTATGACTGCAAAAACGAAAGAAGCTGGAGCATCCTCACTCCTTGGATGTTAAAAGAGGACTTCTATTATTGTCACTGATCATGGATTTCATAAAGACAACAATCACACACACACAATCAGCAAATACAATCTCTCATTGTGCAATGAAAACTTGCTTTCAGAAAGAAATAAAATCAGCAAAGAAAAGATGCCTTGCCTATGGCACAATTCCCAATGTGCAAACCTCCAAAGCAAATAACTCTGCAAATTTTTCACTTACAAAATTTCACAACAATTTAAATTGAAGCTGAAAATGTTTTCCAACTTTTCCTTCATCATATGAAAAGTGACCCAGTCATCCAATCTTTAGATATTCTCACTTTTCTAAACCTAACCTTTCATTGGTGATAAGAATCTGGAGAACCTTCATGCCAGATTTGTATCTCACTGATACACAAGCTTTTGGTACAAACAGTGACTTCAAAAGCCTTGTTTTTAAATGCATATGATTTTTTTTGTGCAACAGTGATTGGATCCTTTGTTTCATTTGGAAATGTGTCAGATTGCAAACATGCCTCCTGCCTTTGTGAGAGAGACCCTTCATACGTTATGTCTCATTGCCAAATACTTCTTGGGATTTTTCCTGCGTCAGTTTGAAATGAGAAAAGGAACAATATCAGGCAGTGGTTAGTGATTGGCATTGATCAGCGGGAATGCGGATTGGAAAATAATTGATTTGCACTGTAAATGAAATCCTTCCAATAAAATTCACACTTCTCTCATCAATTCTCCCAGTTTTAGGATATGGCTAAGTTATTTTACTACCAGTGACATAGCAATTAGTCAGAAATTGTGCATTGCTATGTCTCTCCATGGACAAAGTTGGGTGCTGCCTGTTTGATTTATGGTTTACCAGCAGCTACAGGGTACCGTATGACGTATGTGATTGATATTTTTCATCCATGTAAGAAAATCCTGTAATTTCCTGTTGCAACTGCGTGAGTGTCAAGTTTGTTTCATGAATAGCCTGTCTTGATTGCTATTTAGACGTCATTGCTGGTAATTGTCAATTTAGTGGCCTAATAGTCCTCCAAGTGTTCGTTTCTTCCTATAAATGCCCTCTTTAATGATGTAATTTGGGAAGTACTGTACTACCTTACCATTACTTGACCTTTGTCCCTTTTATCAATTTTTGGGTAATTATTGATCGTTGTGCTGTCCAAGGACCTCATCAAAGAAAGAATAATGGTTCACCAGATACAATTCAGTGATGGTTGAATTTTCAGCTACCAAAGAAAGTGTGTCCTTTTTAAATGAATTGAGTTATCGTACGTAGGCAGGATTTGAATATCATATCCTAAGCCTAATGCATGGAGCAGACATATGAAGAAATTCTTCCTTCTGTCCTCAGCAAAGAGGTATTCTGGTCTGTATACTTTGAATAATTGAAAAATCCTTTGGACAATGTTCAAGATCTGGTGAAAATTTTGCGACAGAGGTTGTGTTCTGATATTGACAGTGTTTCTAGAGAATGTTGCTGACCATTGAACTGAAATGTCTATTGAAAATTAAGATTTTTGAAGGGAAGGTAGCATTTGGAGGATATCCTTGACAGAAGAAGGTATGTTTGCAAATATTGTGATTGATCCCATGGCTGTTGGAAGATTCTGACTCAGAAACATATAGGTGTCCTGAAAGCGTTCTTGTTCTGACAGCACTTCTGATTAACATTCATGAGTTCTGGATGAATCATTTATGTATCCACGGAATCAGTCGGATTGATTTTGTGTATGTGAATGAAATTTTTGTGTAAGCACAGTGAAGCACATGCACAGAAAAGAATTAGTCGGTTTGGGTGAAAATCTTTATGCAATTCCCCACAAAGGCAAAACAGATGCAGAATTAACACGCTCATTGAATTCATCGCAAAATCTTAGCTGTTACAAACCCTTTTTGCTCAGATACAGTAAGCGCAGCTTCATTTGAAGCATTGCTCTAAAAGTGAATGTTGAAGAAGCATCCTATAGTTTGAACCGACAAATTTTATCTAGAGACTAGGCTGATAGTTCATAGCAGTTCCAGGCCAGTTGATGGTGTGAAGCGGGAATGTCATTTTCATATTGTAACCCTTATCCCACTTCCTTCATCACCTCAGTCCAATCCAATCCGTACATCTGCCCCAGTGACTGCTTTATCCAGAGTATGTCTGTGATATTTTGTCCTCAACTACGACATCCAACTGATCTGTGGGAAATGCTGCTGTGCTGGGGCTTGTAAGCAGTTGGTTATTATGGTTCAGGTTTCCTTCCCATCACCAGAAAATATTTAAATTGTCCGATGAAGGTTTGGTCCATGTCAGGGATAACCTCTGAAATCCTGTGAGAGCAGAAAAAAATCAATGAATTTGAGATGGGCCTTGATGTTGTGAAGTACTGTGCCTTTTTGTGATTTCTTCCGTGAATTTATTTGCTGCTTCCTTCCCCTCAACAGCCTTCAAGCGATAGAATGCTACCCAGGAGAGAATGTATTGGAGTAAATCCTTCGAGCTGAGGGTTACTTCTTGGTAAATGGAGCCGTCTCTAACAAGCACTGCTTCACTGCTGAACGGGATGTTAACGTTTGCAAACTCCTCAATTACTGTTGCTCTTGCTGTTGGCCAATGTTTGACCAACTCGTTGTCAGCCTGATTTCAAAAGAGGAAATGTGTACAGTGTTGCAGTGCTTTTTTTTGTGTGCAGAATTTTGCTCGTACCCAGTTGACAACCTCTTTCAGTTTTCTGTTCTCCTCCGGTGGGAGATCTGGGAAATCCATGGGTGTGAGACATGCATTGTAAAGAGCCACAACACCGTGTGGCATCAAGACTCGCTCTGCTTCTGAGAAGAAATCCGTCAGGTCAAACCAGTGACTTGCTTTTGAAACAATGATGGTGACTTCTTCTTCTTGTACTGGAATGCACTCAGCTGGAGCCACTCTGTTGTGAAAGAAAATGGAGGTTTAGCCATCTGTTTTGATGGAAAGTTTTCCTCAACCTTTTTGCTATAGCAGATGATGAAATTTTCTGTGCACCAGCTGATTGTTGCAATTAAATACTTTGTAGACTTCATAATGGATTACAGTTCATTTGAGGAAAACTTATTATTTCATTGTGAATGGAACCTAAGTTGCATTTTGTTATGATGAATGCACTATGTGAGGTTTGTGCAAGATGTGGCAGAACAAGGCTCTGTCCAGAAATTGAGATACAATGTGTAACTCACGCAAAGCGGATATTTGGTGGAGGATCGTGGCGTCGAGCATCGCTGACTTTGGCAGGATTTACATCAATTCCAGTCACGTTCTTGAAATGATTCGACCATATCTTGCTGCTATAGCCATTCCCACAGCCAACATCCAGTGCATGCAATAGCGGCCCTTTGTACTGCAGACATGGAGAGAAAATTAATTTGGATGAGATATTGAGTCTCCCATGTGGTAAATTGTGTTATCTGCAAAGCAAGTGTCAAGCAATACGTCATATTTCTTGATTGTTCAGCAGCTTCTGTGGCAAGGTCGGAGATGGGAGCCCAAGGAGCAAACCTCATTTGTGTTAATCTGCAGGCTGTTGCCTATTTTTACGTGTGACCCATGCTCTTTGAACCAAGCTTTAAAAAAAAAGCATGCTGTGTATACTTGTATGTGAAGCTGATTTTACCGCTTCACGGTTCTTTGAGCATGTCATTCCGGATGAACTTTGTGTCCTCTGAACTTCCTCAGCGCTTCTTCCACTTCTGCGGGATCATCTTTCTTTCCAGGTGCAAGAACAACTTGGGATAAAAAAAATAGTATAAAAGCAAAAAGTTGGTCTGTTTAAAAAACTGCTCATAGTGCTCAATGGGCATTTGTTGGTACTGTACTTCACTGTATTATTTCCACCTTTGCCAATCCCAAGTATATTTGCGAATGAGTAGTTCTTTTTTTTTGAGCAGTTGACCATAAGAATTTCTGTTGGCTGTTACTTGATGTTTGAGATTTGTGGTACAGGTATTGTATTAAGCTTAGATACTTCTTCTGTTCTAATTTTTTATAAACACATTTTTACTGCGCCAAATCCCTGATATGAGCAGTTTATGTTGCACTTTTTCTCAACTTCTACCGGTCGTCCTGTCTCATTGAAATTGTGTACAGTGCATGCTTATTTTCCGTTAAAATCTTTTATACTGGGGAGTTCATTCCAATGATGATTGATATCACTGTCTAAAAAAGCTGATATGGAAAGAAAATGAATGATTTTTTTCTGAAAAAGGTTCGGAAAGTTACCCTTATAATTCTCGCATCATTGGGCTTTCAGTAACGTGTGGCAGAACTCAAAAAGTCAGATTTCTTGATGAAACCAAAACAAAAATGAAATTATGGGTCATTGATTGAATAATTTTCCGGGAAGAAAGAAATTCCTGATTTTCAATTTGTCATTCAAAATACAGTGCTATGTCTGGTGCGGACGGCATTGTTCATTTCCATTTGATGCAGCAACTTTGAATAGAGCTTTTCAGTTGTGTTGAAGTTGGAATATCGGTTTCCTGTGGAAGTTTGGAATGGAATTTGCTCAGGAAGCACCTTCACAATTCAAGTACAGAATAGTAGAACTGAGTCACCCAACTTTTCCTGGCGTCTGTTTTGACATCTAATTGAAAGTTTGTTCCCGCACTGAATGTCATTTTGAGGTCTCGAAATTGAACTTTCAAGTCTTACGCCGTGCAGTAAAAAGTTTGCTTCAACAAGTTGCACAAAACAAACTTATGTTTACCCTGGTTGAGTGTGTTCTCTGGTCTCGCATCCGTGCGTAGCATTCAAACTCTGACAACACCACAAAATGTTGGCACTTTCCAAAAGGCATCCAACGCTTCTCTAAGTGGTGTTTGTGAAGCCACTTTAACGCGCCTTTTCTGTCCAGAACTAAATCAGTTTAAATCGGGTAGGATGGGGAGGGTTTGGTTTGGAGGCAATGAAGCAGAGTTCATGTTTCTGTTCACCATAGTGAGGTCAGGGACTTGAATGACTTCTGATACTGCCGTTCAGAAAATTCCCATGCCCTCACCTTGAAGAATGGTTTTCTCCCTCATGAGCCGTTGGTTAACGCCGCATGGAATGAAGGGTAACCGCTTCCGGTGACGACTCTAATGCCCTGTTTTAATAGTCAACTTTTGACGCCGTTGATGTTAATCAGCGTTTCCCCTTCCATCTTGCTGTCTCTCATTTAATGGAATTTATGATTTCAAGCCCTCACATTTTTCTTGTGCCACTCGTTTTTTTATAAATGAACCATAACTAAATTAATCACATCCCAAACCTTGCTGCAAGGTAATGCGGGGGGGGGGGGGGGGGGCCTCCATCTTGCTGTCTCTCATTTAATGGAATTTATGATTTCAAGCCCTCACATTTTTCTTGTGCCACTCGTTTTTTTTATAAATGAACCATAACTAAATTAATCACATCCCAAACCTTGCTGCAAGGTAATGCGGGGGGGGGGGGCAGCAGGAGAAAATCTCGCGGTGTACAAAAATCCTCCAAAGCATGAACATTTGTAGAAAATTAATTATTTATTCACAGGAAAATGAAGAGATTGAAGGTCCAAATAAAGGCTGCATCTTTCTCAGGGTCTCAAAAAAGTTAATCCTAAACTTTTAAAATGGTTCAGAGGAAATCCCGAAGACAGACACCTTCATGATTTTGTCATCTACACAAGATTTTTTTCCCATGGGGTTTTTTTGTGTTCGGATTTTCATTTATATTTTTTATAACTCAAAATTTGTCTACAAACCATCGTCGCCTAATTTTGTTACCGGAATAGGCTTTGTCTCATATTGCCTCATATACGCAAGTGAAAAAATGCATATACAGTATGTAAATACCCGTTGAGGGATTTTTGTACCCAGCGATATTTTTGGGCCTACTTGATTTTCGAGCCGCGGGATTTTCTCATTATGGAGCCAATGTGGAGATTCCCCCCAACAATCCGTAAATTATTTAACCGTGTTGAATAATTATTCACTGGTATAAGGAACTAATAAAGGGTTCCATTTAAAATTTTGATGCATGCTGCCTCAATTCGTCCTCAGATCGTTGAATTTTGTATGGAGATCCTCCAAAATTTGAAATCAGCATGTCCAGAATCAGAAAACTGAACAAACATCAGATCAGAGTATGACGCGGAATTCATGATGGCTTTTTCCGTCTTTGATTACTGTATTTTGATCTGCCATCATGCCATGACATTTACCGTGAACTTTGATCATCTGCATTGGAATGCAGATGATGCTCGCCATGGCGGAGGTACCAGTACATTAGCCTATCGTATATGATAGAAGTACTAATGCGTGAACTTCAGTCATCCTGAATTTCTGTTGAAGTTTTCATTAATACGAGGTATTCGTGACGAGTTTAAACAATAACTAGTTCTGAGTTCTACAGATTGAAACGTCCCAATCAATGGAAGCTTCTGCGACTTATGCTTGGTGAACAGCATTGAATTGCGAAGACATTTATCCTTGGTGTAGCATAACGACTTGTGTCAGCAAACACGAGTCCGCCCACAGTTTCGACATCAATATGGATTGAATAACAGCACCGCCAGGTACGCGATATGTTTGCTGCTCGGATATTCTGAGAACTTCGATTGATGATTTGTTTGTTGTTTTTTTTTTCGGAGCAACAATCCGACAATCATCCTGCTTATTAAAACGGTATTATGTTTTCCCGATGTTCAGCTCCTATGCATTGCCGAAGGCTTATTCAACTATGGAACCTCAAATTTCCTGGGTTTTCCGAAATAATCAAATATCGTAAAAAAATTGATATTGCTATCCTTTGCTAGTCTGATCCTCGCGGAGTTTATCGCGAAGATGTTCAACACTTAACACGGCATCATGATGTCATTTCGAACATCTTCGCGAGGATCTGACTTGAGCACAAAATATGTAATCCTTGAATTACTGTTGTTCCGCGATGTTCCTTCAATTCTGTTGAGCTCGCGTGGCCCCCGACTGTCCACAAAGTCACGACAGGTCTCGATCCATCACCCCGTGCCTTCCTGGGCCACAGCCGCCGACAACCCTTCAAAGGGATTCAGGTGTGGGCACGTCTTTCGTTTCGCGCTCGCGGAAGACGCCTCTCTTCTTGGGGACTCGTGTGTTAGTGGCGTGTTTTTCGGCCGACGTTTTATCACCCACGACGACGAAGGAAACCCGGGCAACAGCAGTCGGACGCCTTCTGATGCCCGGCTTAATTATGTGTTCTGTCGACGACATGAAAAACGACTTCGATTTGAATAAACGCAGCGTCATGCTGTTAGGAGGAACGCCGCGCTTGCTTTGCCCAAAGACGTGGGAACGCGTCCCCCGGAATTCCGACGAATTTTTCAGCACGACGAAACGTAAATATTTTCTTTTCTCCGTGAGTTTAAGCGTCGATGAACGAACTAGAGATTCAGGAAATTTCCTGCGGTCAAAATGTTTCGACCCGAAGCAATGAATCCCAACAATTTTTTTATGGGGAAATTCTCGAGCCACGAACTCAGAAATTCTGCTCAAGTATTCTAGGGAAATCTAAGAGATATGATAGCTAGAATAATATCAAAGCTTTGATTAACCACGTCTGCATTTCGATCAGAGTGCAGTATTTTAAAGGAAATGAAGCTCCCGGTACAATTTTAACTGTACGTTAGTCACTTTCATTCATCCCAATTAAATAAATATTCGGACAGATGCACTCGAAGATTTCCGAGTTTAATAGCCTGGGATTTTGTGTCAGGTCATCTACGATCTTAATGTTCTCCCCGCATGACGAATTTTTCTTTGACATTAGTTGGATTGGAAGTATAAAAGCGTAATCTATTGTTCAGTTTTTTCTTCCTTCATGGGGGACAAAAGGCTATTGTACAAGAAATGATGCGAGGGCTCGGGAACAAAAAGTCAAGTCCGTAACTGGGTTAAAACCCGTTTTCGCTTGAAAATAAGTGCCGGATCATACAAGTAAATCCAATTGCATTTAAGCGCAGGAATCCCTACGTGACCTGCGTTTTCAACTTTTTCCGTCTAACTTGTCTTCGTAAGAACGTTAATGGTGCGCGTCTTCTCATGTTATTAGGGGCCCATGGGAAATTTGGTATCATTCCGCAAACGGAGTTTCCACGATCAGTCCAGTGACTCGGAAACTTCCCGACGTTTAGGTAATATGTGATGGTGTCCGAGGAAGAAGTTAGCATAGGAAAATTCTCGTCACGCATTTTTACATAACATTATGAGTAAAAAGGCTTGAAAGGTTGAAGGTTTTAGTGAGATACCGTATCTGCACGGCTCGAACTTTGCACTATTTGCGTTTAATTCGCCCGGAAACGCCGGTGCGGGTTATCCTTCGAAGATTTTTTTGTTTTTGTCGACGTGGGGTATTTTATGCTCACGTGATTCTAATAATGTTGAGAGTATACATAATACAATATCTAACAAATTATGTGCAAGGGTTTCAGGTGGTTAGCAGGTTTGTCCGTTGTACGAGGGTTGTCCCTGGTAGACGCGACGTCTGATATTTCCGAAGTACTTGTGATTGTAAAAATAATCATGACAAAGCCCATGGTGCTCTAAGGTTCTGTGATTTTTTTTATGAACCATTTTTTTTTCGCTTTACTGCACAATGATTTAAAACTTTCCAGTTACATCCAGAGTTCTCTGCCCGTATCGCGGGGTGCTAAAAATTTGTCAGGCTATATCTAAAAATGTATTTCTTTTGTTTAGAAAAAATGAATAAAATAACGAACATTTTCAAGATGATAGCTGGCCTGAAAAAATTTCAGTGACATGTGACATGGGTGGAGAACTCCGGCTGCAAGCCAGTAACTGGCAAGTGCTACTTCATCCGCATGCAATAAGTTTGAAACTTATTTTTTAATCCGAGGAGATTCCACAACTTCAGAACATAAATGATTTTTTTATCGCACCTATTCTAAAATTAGAAGAGGGCGCGTCCAACTGGGACAACCCTCGCATATACCGCGCTTTTCCTGCGAAATTTCGACTTTTCCTTGGTCTTCGCACTTTAATTTTGACCTAAAAGTACAGTACTACCGGAAACCGAGGTATAGACGATACAGCATGCGATTTTTGTGCACACCACACTTGGGCTTACGTTCGGCATTTGTTGAATAATCTTACTTGAATTTTGACTCCATTTTCCCGCCCCGATTACATTATTGAGGTTTCTGCCCTTGTTCACTAAGCAATGCACAACGATGAGGACAGTGAACGTCAAATATGAACTTCTTTCGTCGACAACATCGGAATGACTCCTTAGCTGATGCCATCTTCCGACCAATTAAGCATTCTAAGAGCTCATGTATGCTTTTCTGAGGTTGCGGCTAGTTGGATGAATATGATAGTGAGGTTCTCTCAGTGACATCTGATCTGATATTGAAGAACCCTAGATGAGTATATAACTTTACCTGCATAATCGTCGCGTTATACAACTATACTGTACTGATATAATCATTGCATCAAGCTTCAATCACGTACGGCGCGGCATGTAATGCGCCCACGTTTGATCAAAGATTTTCACCTAATTATGAAGCAGCTAAACTTCTTTCAGATTAACTATCGTCCCTGATGACAACTGTTCAAAGTTGCGAACAAGCATATTTTTCTGTAATGCAAGCGCTGGTCTTGGGCAACCAATTATACTGTTTTAAGGTCTTCCACCTGGTCTCAAGAGGAAACGCCGAGATGAGCTAGGAAATGTTCCGGAAGAAAATACCGGAAAAGAAAAAGACGGCGTTGTAAAGAAAAAGATGCTGAGGAAACGAGTGGCCCTAAGAACAATTCGGATACAAGGGTTAAAAGACGACGATAAAATCATGCATTGTAGGAACAAGAAAACGTTGCAGAGTAAATATAAGTACAGGAAAGTAAAAGAATTCCAAAACCAAAAGTGAAAAGGAAAGAAGCATCACAAAAATAAAATATCTCACATGGAAATTCGAATCGAAATGAAAAAAAAACTATTTGAAATACTCGCCTTCAATGCATTTTAATGCAAGAAAAAGAGATGATAAAGTATTTTTGGGTCTCCTGCACATTTTCTCGCAGAGGAATCTTCTCCGCGTCATTTTTTTCATTATGTTGCGCTTTCTCAATCTTCTCCGAGAAATGTTATCCATCCCGGCATTTTCTCCCGGCACAATTTGACATTCATATACAGTATTTTATTGCTTGATGATGTAATTTTTAAAATCTTGATTCTATTTAAATCGGCCACAACGAGGCAAATTGAAGTTGATGGAGAGTGTGCTCGTCACGATTATTTCTTCCGCTCATTTTGGACTAATGGGCCATCCGACGCATGCATTTGATTGAAAATTTGATCAAAGAGGAAGTTCGCGTTTTGAACGAAGCACGTAACGGAAACAAAATTCATGACCCTCTAATTTCCGTTGCTCACTCGTGCAGCACGTGACCTTATTACGAAGAACCTCCAAGCCAACACGCATCTTTTAATGGTAAACCGGTTAACTCCAGGATTTTTCGAAAGTTTTATGAATCGCACAACTTTCATAGCATGGCAGTGTTTGTTTACCAGCTCCTGGCTACCAAGTACTTCCACTGGCTTTTAACTCAGTACAGATCATGCCGGTACTTGATTCTACTTGGTTCGAACTTCCTAGGCAGCACACCCACATTTGAAATGCTGCTTACTCCGGCTGCAGTTTCTTCATCCCTTGAATTTTTCCTTATCTGTTTCATATATCCAAGTCACATTTTCATTCTCTTCTACCCACATCATTCATTTTTTTACGGATGGAGCAATTTTCAATAAGCTTGCCTATCTATGAAGAAAATATCGCACCACCTGCCTCTGCTTGTCCGCCCAAACCTGTCCCAGTGGTATGCTTACCATACTGGTCAAAAATCCCAGTATTGGGGAGGGCTCTTCAAACAGTAGCATGATACATTTTTTAGGTACAAATAAGATGAGATTTTCAAGGATTGATAAATTAGTACAAATAAAAAATGGAATAACAAAGAAAATGCTAATAAGTAAACAATCAAAATTAATAAATAAAAACTGTGAAGTTGAAGCGCACGGGGCTCAAAAAGCCCGAGAGAGAAAGACTCAAAATAACGTTTGTGTTATGCGGACTTTTCCCCCAAGGCCCCAACTAATGCATCCTTGATTTGAAATGAAGTCTTGAAGTCTCAGACGACGATTAGGCAGTCGTGCTTGAACAACGTCCAGAAGATGGTAAACATTTCAGAAAACAAAAATTTTTAAAGTCCCAGTGTTGAAGATCCATTCACGCAAACATATCTACTGGGTCCGTCAACGTTTGAAGGGTCCAGGAGATTCCTTTGCGTGAACTAATCGGAAACCAATGATCTCCGGAAGAGGCCAAGCCGGTAACGGAAGGGGAATCTTTCGCGGCGTTCATGTCTGATTCCAACTGTCTAAGGGAGAACAAGCCACGTTTCCGGACTTCCGGAGTCAATCGATCGCGTCGGATCCGGGTCCGCCTCGTAATTGCTGACACGCGCGTATCAATTCCACGCACGTCCGCAACTTTTTCTCGCCCGACATCCTAGATACCCCGCCCCCCGTCAGTCTCTCTTGGGGTCGGTGAAAGATGGGAAATGCGTGACCTCCATCCGCCTGACGAGCAGATCGTTCCTTGTTCCGTTTTCTCCCCCTTTTCGCCCCAGCAATGTCTCGTGGAGTGCAAGAGGTCCATTCTTCAGATATAGAGCTCCCAGCGTGAATATTATCGTGTGTATTTCTGCTGACCGTGCGCTAAATGGAACGTGGCATTTGCGGTTTAGGGTGCGTCGAAAGCTCTCCGGGATTCCTTTTTTTTTTCCTCCCCCACGCCGAGGATACGACCTTCAGTACCCATGAAGGCGCGAAACCGCCTAACCACATCAAATAATTCAAGGCAAATGCGCTGTGATGAAAATATTGTATATTGTACAAGGATAAACGATGCGGTTTTCAACATTTCATCGAGTTGCAGCGGTGTCAGAAAGAAGAAACGCCATACATGTGGTGAAGGAAATGTCGCCGGGAAAACAGCCGGAGATCTAGAAATGGAAACTGCTGGAAGCCCCGCAATTTATCGCAATTGTTTTATTTTGTCCTGAAGCTTTTCTTTTAAAAAGTACTCCAGGATATGCAGGTGAACTCTCTCTCTCTCTCTTTCTCTCAAAAGATATTTTCTATAATGATTTTCTCTGTATAACGATTTTTTTGCGATTCCTCATGTTTCTCTCCCCATGTAATGAGGTTTCTCTACAGAGAATTTTTTTGG